AATTACCAGTACGTCTATAATTTGGAAGTGATGTCTGCTGTTGGCTGAAATTAGTGTTTGCACTTTCAGGGGTAACCTCTTCTGCCACATTTCTGCGAACTGACAGCCAACATGCATAGCAAACTCTACTATGAAGTTCAATCTGAAAAAAGAAATGAATGCATAAGACAAACATTTTAACATTCTCAACTTTCTTTTCATTATATGTATAGATAACTAACTATATCATAATATGTCTAAAAAATGTATTTACCAATCTGGGTGAGATACGTCTTGCAATGACATCTCTTTCAGGACCTTCTCGTAAAGAATGAGAATGACATCTGGCAATTGATCTCTGACACCAAACACAAATTGAAGCATGAGATGTGGATGGTTGAGGCTGAGATGTGGAAGGTTGAGGCTGAGATGTGGAAGGTTGAGGCTGAGATATGGATAGTTGAGGCTGAGATGTAGATGATTGATCTACAAGTTGTCCAGGAGGTTCAGCTCTATTTTGATCTTGCATCTGCGCTCGTTGAACATTTCTACGAGCTGCAAGCCAACAGGCATAGCAAACTCTATGCTCAGGTTGTATCTAAAAATAACATATTAAATGTTTAAAAAAAATACCATGTGCCTCATATTATAATAAATAAACAAAAAACCAGGATTTAACATGCAATTACGGTCGAATTAAATCAATATTTACAAGTTGCAATTTAAAAAATCAATAGATTGTACACAATAGGTGCATAAAACACTAACCTGTCGTGGTAATATACGCAAAGCTATATGATCTCTCTCAGGGCCGTTTGGTAATCGATGAGAATGATGACCAAGTATTGACTTTTTACACCAAATACAGTGACTTGCAACCTGAGTTCTTAATTCAAGAGATAGTCGATTTACAGCCGATGTTAGGCAATCTTCACACAAGTAGCCATCACAATCAATCTGAAAGAGAAAAAAGTATAAGTAATACACTGCACTGTTGCACTTGATATTATAAAGACCACCAATATCAAATAAACTTCTATTTTCCAGATAATCTACCTAGTATCTTTTTACCGTAAAATACAACGAAATAACTGCGTTTTTGAAGAAACTAACTCAGTTATGACTTCGGGTTTCAATTGGCACGAGATTCTTAATAAAATGGGATTGAGGGAGAAACTTTTCAACGTCAGCGATCTTTAATGTGCGCGTGTGATTTACAGTAGTATTATGATGACGACTATTACAGTAGGCATATAGATACTCACCTCACGGTTTAATATATCAGCAAAAACTGCACTTAATTCTAGGCCAATATCTGATAACTTGTAACGTTGTATCTCATTGCACAAAACAACATCACATAAAAAGCACCTCATCGTGAGAATAGTACCAAATCGTATGCAGTTCGGAAGTCCAGGTAAATAGCAGTAGTCGGTTGAAAGAAAATATGTCGCAAACCAAATCGTAAGCAGTCGAGAGAATGTCCGTAAAGAATAGCCAAAAGTCGGTGACGAGTATCTCAAATAATTATAGCAGAAAGCACTCCAGAAACGCGAATTCAAACGAGACGAGAAACGGAATGAAATGAAAATCTCTGACATTGACGTGTTGCCCAGTGTTTAACAGCTTAGGGCATAGGTTTTTAGACAATCTTTTTAGATTTTTTAAAATAATTTAAGGAACCGTATTTGATATGTTAATAATATAATAATTGGTTCGTAATGAATAAGTTATAAAAAAATAGTAGATAATTTTACAGATGTCCATAATACTTTTAGTCCTGTTCTTTTTAATAATCTTGATAAAACATTTCAAGCACAGACATTGCCATTTAATTAAACTGCAATAATCAAATAACTGCAGTGTTGCCAGTTATTGATAAGTTCGAACGATAATTTTAAGTGGTACAACTGATTAATAAATTGTAATATATTTTTTTATGAATTCTCCGTATTTTTTTCTTTAAAAATATGTAATTGTACTTGAGGTACATGTTTTGGGCAAAGTTGTATGAAAGAAGTGATGGATCCTTTACAGTCTATTATTAATAGAATGCAGGAATTGAAACAGATATTAAACCTTTTCGGTCGGACCTCATAAACATGCACAACTAAATCTTCGTGACAGAAACAAGGCCTTCGTAAATTAAACAATTTATTTTATGTCAAATATTTGTCGTAGGCGGTTGACATAATCGCTGGTCTCAAGAAAAATCCGGTGGTGGCTGTGCCGGTTGTTCTACGCAGGTTGAAGGCAAAAGAAGAAGAGTGGAGAGAGGCGCAAAAGGTAAGTTTATTACATCGATAAGTAGCAAATCTTACCTAATTACGGCGACGCTTTATTAATAGTAAATATTATTTGACACAAAAACAGATAAAGTGACGACATTTGTAGGTGACTGGAATCTAATAATTGTTCAATTGAGTCATACTAGCGGTTTTCCTTACGTAACCTATAAAAGCATATTTAAAATTTCCGAAATCTTAATTTGAAATTCTACTTCAAATCCTTACACTTGCATACTCGACAATATTCGATTTATTAATCGATTACAAAAACTTTTAATTGAATGAACCGAATGTTTTTTTTTGTAACAGCACTATGCAACCATAGACAAGTCATAGTTGTATATTTGAAAAATGACCTCACTTTTGGACTACCGTTTTTTACATACGATTTTACGATGCTATTCAAATGAATATTGTTGTCAAAAGTGACGACATATGAAGTCGAAATCTTTTAAATATACGTACGAAAGTGTTACTTATTCAATTTATCGAGTGATTGCTTTAGAATTTGAACCAAACAGTTTAGTTTACTTTTTGTTCAAAATTAATTAGTAAGTAGTGACGCTACACTATGGATACGGGGTGAAGGGTGGCAGAAAGGCGACATATTTTGCATAGCTTAGCGGGATCGTTGGGTTAGTTTAGATGACTTGGTTAACTTAGTTCGCGGTGTGAACTGAAACATAATATGTAGATGCCCCGGCTACGTGATTCGGTCGCGGTGTGGCCTGTGCTTTATAGGCTTCCAAGCTCCCTACTAGAAATATACAGAGTTGTCTGTAAAATACCATAGTCCATTTGTTTAGATACTTAACTAAATGCAAACGATCTTGAGATGTCTATTTTTTTTAATATACACGATAGTTTTACTTACCTTTAAATACAAAATATAAATACTTAGCTTCACATTAAATTGCGTGCCTATTTTTATACTTCTTGATTTACAATGAAGAATCAAGACTGATTACATTTAGTTAAGTGCCTAAACAAATAGAATCACCAACACAATAAACAACAACTTTTGTTCCATAACTTTTAAGATTTTACTTTCGTACAAAATATTTAAATAGATCGCTCTAAACAGTGATAACTCTGTGCGGTAACAACAGAAAGCGATAGCGTAAAACTGGGCTGCCAATATCGTCAACTGTTTATTATATAATCTCAGTAGAAAGTACTAAGGAAACCGCCTTCAAAAGTCATTCGTCCACAAGTTTGCCACCCTTAGAGGTGAATATTTTCTTCAAATTTAAATGGGACCACTACTGAGGTTACCCTCTTTCCAACAGAAAAATAATCCTCAAAATCGGTTTACAAATATCGGTATCGCGTAACATGCATACAAAAAAAAGAAAGAAACATACAGTCGAATTGCGAACCTCCTCCTTTTTTGAAGTTGGTTAAAAAAGGACGACACTTACTTATATATAGTAAGATTATTCACTTGTTTACCCACAGGGCTTTAACAAACAATGGCGCGAGCAGAACGAGAAGTATTACCTCAAATCGTTAGACCACCAAGGCATTAACTTCAAACAGAACGATCTGAAAGCGATGAGGTCCAAATCGCTGTTCAACGAAGTGGAGAGCGCGTACGCAGCGCGACGGCCGGGGCCACACCTCGTTGTGGACTATAACATGAAAAGCGAGGAAGAAGGTAAGATATAATATCGTCTGTTTAAAGGTAAAACCACATAGTGACATTTTCCACAAAGTCTTTAATTTATATAGTTATGGTAAGAAAATCACTGTCTTTCTGCACGTGAAGCTCAATAACAAAAAAGCTATAAACTTAATAAGAGTTTTTTATCTGCAGAAAGATGGTGAATTTCTTAGAACTGGTACATAATTTGGAGTTTAATTGTGGAAAATGTCATTTATGTGGTTTTACCTTTAAGCAAACGATATATTTGTAGGACAAACCGAAAGGTCACTTAAAAATATGTTCACCCATTACAACGAGGGATAGCAGTTTTTGTGCGTGTCATATAAAGCGATAAATGGATTAATGCATGAGATTATATAATTATAAAGCGTGAAACAAAACACGTGCGTTCGTGGGGTGTTGTCGTCCATATAAATACACGGAATTACACCCACCGTGCTCTCGACCCCAGACACACCCGAACCGCACCCGTTCTCTGTGTGTTTCATGCTGTTTTAATTTTTGATTACATCATCATAATAATAAAAACGTACACATTCAACATAGAGAAACCCTGAATCGCGTGACGCACACATAGACAACCACAAATTACACCCAAACTCACGAGAGAAGTAAATGTAGGTCATGCAAATATTTTTCCCGGCCCGGGAATCAAACCGGGACCTCTGCGTGGCAGTAACTGTTGATTTATTAGAATTCTGATGTGTCAAATTCAATAGAATTCTATAACTAATCCTAAAACTGAGTGAATATCAGCTTTTCTACATATTCAGTCAGTGTTCCAACAAATTCAGTTAGCATCACATAAATTCGATGATTATCTTCAGAAATCGTCATTATTCCTACAAATTAAAAAAGAAAACTACTTTTCGAAAACGTTCTTGTTAAGCAGCTACGTAGTGACCATAAACTATAAATTCTAAAAATAATATAACACGTATTTATATTTTGTTTTAGCAATAAAGATAATTCGCGACGCAGCGGAATTGTTAATACATCACGCACGACGGCAGACGGCAATACAAAAAGCCGAGAAACGTCGCATCAAGCAGTTGCTAAGGCAATTCCTGCCCGACCTCTTCGCCTACCCAAGACAACCCCTTTCTGATGATGAGAGGGACGAAGGTACGTCCTTTAATTACATACCGGTGGGGTTCATGATAAAAAGTCGTTATTAAAGGGTAAACATACAAACATAGGATATGAAACTATTTTTTCGGATCTAAATTTTCAAACAAACCAACATTTCGGACCTTTTACAGGTCGTGCTGGTGAAATTACATGCACATGGGACTTATCAACTTATGTCTCAGGGTGACGGGCGCAGAGCAGTGCCCCTCACAACTTTGCCATTTAAAGCTCTTAGCGGCGATGCAACTATTAGAATCAGGAGTGTCGCTTACTTGGTATCATAAAACAGACCTCAAAAGTTCGAGGAGTTACGTTTAATAAATAAATATTAGGCCACATCACACACGTTGCTCTGATCCCAAAGTAAGTAGCTAAAGCACTTGTGTTATGGAAATCGGAAACAACGACGGTACTACAAACATCTTTACCCGAGACAATATAGAAAAGTTAGTTTTCTACACTGACCAACCCGGGACCTCAGAGATGGCGACACCGTGAAAACCGCTGTGCAAGCCACTCGACCACAGAGGCCGTCAAATTTTATTATTAAATATTATTATTTGCCAAGTTTTATTGAAATCGGTTACCGTTTTATTGATTCGTCACCTAGTTTGCCACCCTTAGAGGTGGAAGATTTTTTTTTCAAATTTATATGGGACCAATACTGTGAGGTACCCTCTTTCCAGCAAAAAAAAGAACCTTCAAAAATACCAGAGTAATCACGTAATAATATTCTAGATTGAAACATAATGGTAATTGTTATAGAAGAAAAAGAAGAGGCGACCAGCCCTGGCAGCCCGGCGTTGGAGCCGGTGGAGAAAGACGAGAAAGCCAACAAAGACGTTAAGCAAGAGAAACAAGAGGTACGTTCACCACACACATGCACATTCCTATCTTTGTATCATAGTTTCTATTTATGATAATTTATATAAATATATGTAAATGTGTTGATTAAAACTATCACGATTTTCACATACTATTTGATTTTTAATTCGGGACTTAATCACGTATAAAACATATTTTATTTACCTCGACGTTTAGGACATATTGCAACGTCAGTGGTCTCGAAGGGACTAAATGTGAACAAATGTCCCTTTACAAACATCAAGCAAGTCTCTTACTCGTTCATTTCAGGGGAGTCTGCTTCACGAATGAGTAGTTTGTGACGATTTCAAATTGTAATTTGCTTACCTATGAAATAATGATCTTGAAAGAAAGTTCATTTTGCAAATAAGAAGAAACTATTAAAAAAAAACAAGGTGTCTATTAGGTTATTCCCATCTGATTCCCTGGTGGATTCGTTTAATTTTATATTATATTCTATGCCCATCGGTTCCCCTCTACAGGGGATCAAGAATAAATATTAATATTTTATTCCCACCTGATACCATTGTACTTACATACGTATTTGTACTCTGGTGGTTAATTCGAAATGAACAATATTAACTATACTTCACCAGTCAAGGTCTTTAACTCAAAAAATACCAAAATACAGTTTGAGGAAACTTTTTGTTACTTGTGATTTGCAATTGTGTCAGTATTAACATGTCACAAAAAAAATTGATTGTCTGTCATAATTATACATAACATTAGATCACAATTGCTCAATAAATGAATGTATGATTTTAAAACTTATTTTTCTCTTGACTGTACTTACCTTACAAATACAATGAGGGCAAAATACAAATACTACAAAAATTACATATACAATCCGTTGGGAGTTGCAAAATATAGAGCGGATCAGTTCGAATTTAAAATAGGCGGTGGATCAGTTGTAGGAGATCAGATGGGAATGATGCGCCTATTAGGTTTGTATGTTACTCGTAATTGATATTATTTACATGAATGTTTATTCCAGTCGTCGGAGTCGGATAACGCTTCGGACAAGAGCGGGAAGAACAACAAGAACGACAAAGAGAACAAGCCCAAGAACAACAACATGGACAGCAAAGACAGTAAAGGTGAGATTTATGTTTGTACTCAACGATGGCGAAGCTAAAAAGACTGGCTACGTTTTTATGTCTTTATGCTTCTAAAAGTAGCGGACTTCGTCATTATAAATACAAGTATTATGTTTGAAATAGAGACAATGATGAAATACATGCGATGTGCTTAACAGAATGTCAGTGGTGATACACGCATGCTGCCTTCCTTCTGATGTCTTATTTCTTTTACTACGAACTTCAAAGCAACACACTCACAGATATTTACGTCAAGCTTGTGTTTGTATATCCGTTCTGTGTATTTGTGTATGTTTAGTATTATGCAATTTAAATTACTTATTTATTACCCAAGTTGATTATTTTCTTTGTCTGATTGTTGTTTGTCATTTTTTTTATTTGGCGCCTAATTGTCTACAATTCGAATTTAGATTTTATTGTACGTAAATATAATCGAATTGTGGTGCTCCTGAATTTATGACGGGTCCTGGCAGAATAACAGCGAGGGCTATGTAATCAGCATAGTCGTCAAATGCTGAGTCATGGACATTTTTGATATGCTTTTTTGTGTATTTGGCATGGGAAATAAAGCCAAAAAGGGGTATACGGGGTCTATCTAACTTCTGTACATAAGTCTCGTTTTAACTTTGGAAAACGGCGATTAAAAGTTCACGAGCGTCAAAACTGAAATAAGATAGTAATTTAAAGAAAGTCCTTTTCGCATAAGTCATAATTGAGTTTCATGTAACACAAATTTACAGAAATGATTTCGCAACTTTTAAAATTGATCACGTGATTGTATATACTATAAACATTCAACTAAACTTGCCAACAGATTCGTCAATTGCGGTCAACAATGTAAAACGCAGCAGCAACGAAGAACCAGTCAAGAACGACGTTAAGGTGGAACAGGACGTGGAGGATGACTATAGAGACCACCCGTCGAATGTAAGAAATTTTTCTTTCCTTTCGTAATTTAGAGAGACGTACGGTGTTTTTTATGATATCAACCAACGGGACGAGCAAGTCGTGCGTTTGGTGGTAAGCGACACGTTCTTAATATTTGTAGTGCCACTCAAGTTGAAATGACCTCACTTCTAGAAGTTCACAGTAAATCATTCTCTCGCCGTTATTTGAAAGGCCTGTAACAGCTGACAAGTTTCGCGTCTCATGTGGCAGTGTCCCTCCGATCTTTGCGATTTAAAGCTTCGAGTAGCACTGCACGACTTGTTCGTCACTTGATATTATAAAATAATCTCTGTACTGTGACGGTGTGGCCTCTTTGCATTGTCATTCCACCTTTTTATCGTTCCATTCTTTTGCCTTACATTCTGATTTTATTTCGTCCCATTTGGATCTTTTACTAAGTTATAATCATTATAATATAATTTAAATAATGTATCATTCTTAATAAGTACGTAACAGTCTACGGCCTTATCTTGTACCTATGAATACGTATCTGTAGTTCAGTATAACTCGGCCCTTTTAGAGCTTGTTATCATTAGTTCTTAACCGGACATTAAATGAATTTGTGGGGCGGAACCCTTGGCAAGTTTTATCGAAATCGCTTACCGGGAAATGCGTGAAACCGGATTGGTCCTGGGTGGACAGAATGTTGCACCGTGTCGTGTCTGTGCGCAGGAGGCGCGGTTCGTGTGCACGACGTCGTGGTACCTGTTCCTGCGCCTGCACGGGACCATCTGCCAGCGCCTGGGCGCGGCGCGGCGGACGGCGCTGCAGCTGGCGCGCCGCGACGCCGAGGAGCAGGGCGCGCGCCACCCCAGCGTGGCCACGGCGCTGCGCCTCAAGCCCAACAGTCAGACTTGTTTTATTTATCCAGTTCCGTCGAGTATGTAACCAGAAATGGAGACCAAATAAGGGCCATATATTCCTGGTAACACATTAGCGATACAGCTCTTATATATGTCGACTCTCGTGTGCGCTGAAATATAGACAGGCCAACTACTGACCTGTCTGTATGTGTCCGTGTTTTTTGCAGTTTTCGTCCATTATAGCAAAACTCAAGTTACTGGTCGATTTGGAGTGAAACAGTTGACGACACCCGTCATTTGTTTCGAACTCGGGCTAGCCAATCGGAGCGCAGTTGTCACAGTAATGATGTGGCAGAATAGTTTTCAAACAAATTAAATGACATTTCGTCTCTATTTCTGGTTATATACTCGATGTCCAGTTCTTACGTTTGCGCGATTGTTACACATAGGAAATGAAATGAAATGATTTCAAACAAACCGACGACAAAGCACGGTTGTCAACCCTGAAACGTTGGTTTGTTTGAAGAAACAAATATACGCGATTTAAATCCGGAAAACAGTTTCGTTTCCTATGTGTAACAATCGCGCAAACGTAAATAATAATAAAATATTGTTTCATGTTGATGGGAATTCATAAATGGCATTGGATTACTCATATTTAAGTATATCATAATTGTATTATTTGTTCGTGAATTTTCCGAAAATTTATAAATAAATAATAAATTGCCGTCGAATCCCATCATATTCATGTACCGCACTGTTAATATAATAGTGTACTAACTCAAAATGTGTATTTTTTCTATGATAAACGAATTACTCACTTTCCGTAAAAGATTATTTCGACTCCTACGTAAAGTATCATATGTCGAAATTGCCAAGTTTACAGGGGAGCGTTCTAAAGTTCTCGGTTTTATTCGGCAAAGTTCGTTACTCACACAGTGTGATCATCTAATAGACCATCAAAGATCTAACCGATTTCTAGGATTTTATAATACTCTATGTGAGTAACGAGTGTTGCCGAATAAAAATGAGAAATGCTAAAGTCACGTGTTATACTTATTTCAGTGAATTCAGAACTTTAAAACGCTCTCCTGTAAACTTGGCAATTTCGACATAAGATACTTTACGTAGGAGGGGTCGATTTAAATTTTATATAATTTATATTTAAACCTACACGGTTAAAGTTTATTACAGACATCTAAACAATTCTCTACTCGCCAATATATACTGTTTGCGAAAGACTTACAAAAAGTTTTGTTTCATTTCGAATTAAGTAGATATCTTTTAATTGTTCCCTACCATATTCTAATGTTACGTTCAGCATTAGTATAATCTCGAATTTCACATACTTTGAGTTACAACACTATTGCAATAGCAGTGCGATATGTCGATTCTATTGAAATTTAATCCAACGTTAATAATATATTGTGTAACATTTTTGTCTTAAAATAGTGTTGTAATTGAAACCATATTAAGTTTTATTACATTTTTGCAACTCACTGGATGCATCAAATAAACAGAGCAATCTTTTTCCTTTCAGACCTACCATCAGAAGTTTCCTCCCCAGCTGAATACTACAAGGCACTATTGGAATTGGTGAAAGGCGTTCTCGACGGCAATACTGAGCCCTCCGCGTACGAAGACGCTGCGAGAGAAATGCTTGGCATCAAAGCGTATCCGGCGTACACGTTGGATAAACTCGTGTCCATCGCTGTTAGACAGGTTAGTTGTCATTAATTAGTATAATTAGTTTTCCGCGTTAAACCATTTTTTAAATCATATTTAATAAATTCAAAAAAACTGCTGAGTTACAGACCATTATCAAAAATGTAGTTTTAATTAATGTAGGATTATTAAAAACATTAATTTACTGGACAATATTTATTATTATTCATTTATTATATATTGTGTAAAATTTTTGTGATGCTCGTATTTCATTTTCTAACATTGAAACAATCAAATTGCGCTGTGGTAACGGAATTTCAACTTTATTCCCGAAAGACAAACTTCTAAATGAAACTATGATGACATACATGCGATGTGCTTGTGACAGAACGTCAGTGGTGATACACGCATGCTGCCTTCCTACTGATGTTTCTTTGAAGTTTGAAATTTGTGAATATTTCGCACGCACATATAGTTTAATAAGGCCACATCTAAAAAAATTACAACTTTTGAAGATACATTTTTATACTTAAATAGGAGAGTTGTAAAATTCCACATGTACATAATTTGATTATATGTAAAGGGTTTTCCATTAAGGGCAGGTTGATTTTGACAATTCACAGCGGCCATGTTGTTGAGGCTGCTTAAATTGAATTGATTCGGTGAAATTCGGCAATTAATTGCATACAACACTATTATTTTAAAAAACAGATTTAGAAATCGTGTGACGATAATACTTGAAATATGTTCTATCATATTATGGATTAATGTTTTATTTTTAAACCCAAATTGTTTGTTAACTGTTTCGTTGATTGCATTTAAAGTTACATACTATAACTGCCTCCGTGGTCGAACGGTTACCATGCCGGACTGCCACGCAGAGGTCCCAGGTTCGATTCCTGGGCCGGGCGAAATATTTGTATGACCTACATTTATTTCTCTCGTGAGTTTGGGTGTAATTTGTGGTTGTCTATGTGTGTGTCCATGGCACCCGCGACACAGGGTTTCCCTAGTGCGGGGCTATGTTGAGTGTGTGCGTTATTATTATACATCGAGTAAGTATATAACCAAAAATAGAGACGAAATGTCGTTTAATTTGTTTGAAAACTATTCTGCCATATCATTAGAGTGACAACTGCGCTCCGATTGGCCAACCCGAATTCGAAACAATTGACGGGTGTCATCAATTGTTTCACTTCAAACCGACCAGTTACTTGAGCTTTGCTATAATGAAAGAAAATTGCAAAATTGTATCTTTAATATTTAATTACCGATGATATGTGATTCCGTTTGTTTTGTAATTAGATGTTTTGCTGTTTTCCCCCACACCGCCGAATGGAACAGCGCGGCATTGTTACAGATATTATCTTTATTACAATAAATACAGAATATTTTTGGTATATACGGTGATATACACACAGGTCAGTTGTTGGCGCTGTACTATTTCAGCTTTCTAATTAGTAATTTCAGTGCAAACGAGAGTTTATATTTAAAAGTGATATAAGGCCCATTTATCGTCGCTGTTGCTGATTATATTTACTCGATGGTTACATACTGTCTTCCTTAATTTGACAAGGCCTCTTACATTGTGACGACTATAGATATAGACTATAGATGTCAAAAAATTAATTTGAATAACGTCAAAACAAATTCAAAAATTAGACAACTTAGTTATGGATTTGTCATTTAAAAATTCGGACACTGAGTATATTTTATTAGTCAATAAGCTGTTATAGTACTTATATTGTATATTAAGGAGACGGTAAATAGGAAACTACCAACGAGAGTCTATTAGAAACCCGAAGCCAAAGGCTGAGTGAGGGCTTTAATAAAACGAGTTTTGTATTTTTATATATACAATGATACCATCACACTTCCGAGAAAATAAATACAATATAAATATGGTTCACAACACAACAATTATGGATTTGACAAATGGCGGGCTTTTTGTTTTTTTTTTTAATTCTCCCATAGATAATATAACTCGAACTAAAATGTTGTAGAAAGCAAACACGCATACAGCCATAATAATAAAAATCTATTATAAGAAATTCTAAGAATTATAAGAAATTCTTAATAATACGTATTTAAGTAGTATGTGGCTGAATTGCAACAAAATTTCAGTTTAGATAACATTTTATGGCTATAATGGAAAGAAAAAAGGCCCGTGGGTTTATTTAAGGTATCATGTCAAGTTAGCCACCATACAATTATACCATTTACGAGCAAGTGTGATGAAAAATTGTTAACCGTCTTGAACCGTGGCCTGACGACATCTGCCTTCCCCCAGCTGCAGCATTGCGTGTCGGAATCGTGGTCGGTGCGCGCGGCGGAGATGGCGGCTCGCGGCGGCATGCGGGGCCCACTCAGCTACGTGCGTCGTGCCGCCAAGTTCCTCCGCCAGGACCACACCGCCTTCCTCGTCAAAGTGGTCAGTACCTGTGACTCTACTTCATATACACTCCCGGACATGTAATTCGAGCCACCTCGCATTTTCAGTATTGAATGCCCTACGCTTAAACAATGTTTGATTGATTAAAAACTATTAAGCAATTTTGAAACTAGTATACTAAACGTCTTTTCCCATAAATCCTTGTTACAAATTTGGATTTGCAAAACCGGGGGAAAACTTTTTCTTCGACGGTAACACTACGTTTGTATTCTAGCCCTTTAAGACAAAAATGTGAGGTGGCTCGTATTATGTGTCCGGAACCGGTTGAAGCATCGTGTAGGAAAGATTAGCCAGTCTATAATATGAATCATAAGTATAGTACCGGCACGCTATGATCGCCGTTTTGACAGATTACGATAGTGAGGTCAAATCTCAATTCATTATCGAAAAAAATATTATCAAATGCAAATCGCATCTATAAGTTTTTAGATTTATAACTAGTATTGCAAGGGGTAGTTAAGGGGTATGTAGTTATCGAATATTCAATGTAATCACTGGGTTAAACAAATGTATTCGAAATTGATGTGGCCCTAGATAAAAGTAATATTGAATGATTTGAGGTGTATTATTAACTGTCGTTTTATTATTATTTTTATTTTTTTTTATTTTTTATTGTGACTCGGCAAAATGACTGCACCGCGCCTGATGGAAA